CAACCCGGATCCGGTGGGTGCCAATGTATCATTCGAACAGTGTATACTGCCGCCCCGGCCCTCGCGTAGGCTGCCGTTGCTGTCACATAAATCTCCGATTGGCGGAGGATATCGAGGTAACGCGTGTCACAACTCATGGACCGGTTATTGAAGACACGGTCGTTACGCCACTTCCACGCACTCCAAATGGTAAATGCAAAAGTGCTTGGCCAACTCTCCTGCCGGCCCACCGTCGCCCGCCCTAAATTCGACCACAGCCACTCCCTTAGCGGCGGAAGAAAAAAATCTCCGAAATTATCAGGCAGAAGCAGTCGTGTCCACGTGCTCTTGGCTATCCGGCAGTCACGCAGAACATGCAAAGTGGTTTCGGGCACTCCACACACCTCAAAGTCCGGCGAAGAAGAAATATGCCGCTGGACCCGCTCGCTATTGGTCAGGATGCGTTTCTTAGCCGCCATCCAGGGGAACATGCTAACCTGTTGCGACACTGGAGACTTCCAAATCATAATCCAAAGTGGTCGGTCTGGGTCTCTCTCCGGTGTCGCTAACGCCAAGTAGGTCGTACGCGTCGAAAATCTACCATCATGTGTGGAGCCCCACAGAAGACGGTCTTCGCCGATCGTGTCTCTCGGTGGAGCGATTTCGGCAATACACATCAGGATGGCTGACGGGAGAACTCCATGAAATGCGTCCCAGTTCCAATCACCCCTCGTGTCCAAATCAACAACAATCAAATTTAAGGTATACTCCGGTGGCCGCTGAGCCTGAGTCTCGGGGTGCCTTCTCCACTTTAGTTCGTCAGCATAATTCGGATATAGTAGCTATTATTGAGCCACGAATCAGTGGGGATTTAGCTGACAGGTTCGTGAGGCAAAGTAAGTTTGAGAATTTTTTTCGCATTGAAGCCCGGGGATTTTCTAGAGGTATTTGGCTGTTATGGCATGATGGGGTGAGTATTGAGGTCTTGTACTTCTCTAGACAATTGGTACATGTACGAGCTGGAAAAAATGGAGAGGGCTGCTTAATTTTGTTTATTTATGCTAGTCCAAATCCTGTCATTCGGAGGCAGCTTTGGGCCGACTTGGAGGGACTTTCGTTGGGGATTTCGGAATCGTGGCTCATTAGGGGCGACTTCAATTGTCTTCTTCGTCGCTCGAGAAAGAAAGAAGGGTCGCCCAATCATTGTAACACTTGCCTGGAATTTGTGGATTGGATGTTTTCTAATGGCATACAAGAGGTGGCTACGGATGGACACCTCGTTACATGGGTTCGGGACGGCCCGAATGGTCACATCATGGAGAGGCTGGATTGATTTGTCGCAAATATTGCATGGCTGGAGAAATTCGAGGTAAGCCGTGTTAGGCTTCTTCCACGCATTCAATCCGACCACTCGCCTTTGTTGGTGGGCTTTGGTCAACAATGGCTAGACACGCAGGGAGCAGGGCCGGCCCATATGTTAAACCATTGTTATATATTGCTTAGTTTAATTTCATGAATAAAAAGGTGGAGAGTCAGAATTATTTATTCAAGTATTTATTGTTCATCATCTCTCCAACTTTTAGCACATTTTTCCACAAGTTCACTTTTTCTATTTTCTATGACACACCATGCGGCCTTTTTTTGTTGTCTTTATCATTTATTTATCTCTCTTTCTAGTTACATTCTTCTTTTATACATATTTATCTTTATTACATAAATAATTTATGTTATTTGTTGATTGCTTCATTGGCCATTATAATTAATTTATAGATTATATTTAACTAACTTTTTAAAATTACTTTCAATGTGGTTTAAGGTTGCTCGATAAAATTTAAATATATTTAATATTTATTTTGTTACTATTTATAGTTAATTTGTAAATTTTATATGCTTTATCATTTTTTTAGTTATGTGTTGTGAGAGTTATTTGTTTTACAGGTCAAACCTAAACCATAAATTAACTAAAGTTCATTAAAAATGATGTTGTACTAAATTTATATTATTTTATGTATTTAAGATAATATTGATAATAACTTAATTATAGTTTTACTCATTAATGATCTTTAGTTAACATATCATCATGTTTAAACTACAAAATAAATCATTCTTATGACATATAAAAACCACTTAAAAAAAGTGAGCTTTATAAAATTTAGCAACTAATTAATTTATGCAATAGAAGGATATTATATGAAATTTTGATTATGGTGATACAATTGATATTTTTTCGCTAAAAATTCTAAAGAAACTTTGTAAGTGATTTTGTTACTACTATATCTTTGCCGCCAAAAAAAAAAGTTTTGGTTGGTAAATTAGTTATTTGATGTGTCTGAAATTTATAGTGAGACATCATGATTTTATAAAAGCACTCAAAGTACTATCTATTTTGGAGGATCAAAGTGCCAATAACCTTAATATAAGTGATGAATTGTTATCTATTGATGAAGTTGTGCCTTACATATGAGATTATATAAATTAATATGTTAAGCAAAATAATTATTATGGCATTGTTGATATTATATAAATACTCTAGTTTATATATATGTATATATATATATATATATATATATATATATATATATATATCTTTGCTTAAGGCACCATTTTTGTATTTGGCCCAGGGTAAAAAAATATTAAGGACCGGCTCTGGCAGGGAGTGAAACCATTTCGGTTTTTATCATCATGGCTCCTTCATCCAGGCTTTTCGGCTATGTTACAAAATGAATGGCAACCGGCGTTCGGCTTTCCTGAAGCGGCCAAGCATTTCTCAGCTGCGGCAACTGAATGGAACTTCTCGGTGTTTGGTAATATCTTCCACTGTAAGAAACATCTCCTAGCCCGTATTGGGGATATTCAGAGATGCCGACAATTTTATTTTAAGGAACGGCTTGTGGCACTCGAAAAGAAATTACGTGAAGAGCTAGACGATGTCATTCTCCAGGAGGAATTGCTTGTTCTCCAGAAATGTACGAGGGATTGGATGCTCAAATTCCGAAGGAGACGTAGTTGGATTTGGGAATTGATGAATGGCGATGGGAACCTTGTGACGGACTCGCAGACACTTCGGCAGTTAGCGACGGAGTTCTTTAAGAAAATATATACCGGCGGGCCCGAGCCCGTGAGGGATGCAGATATTCCTAATCTTTTCCCAGGCGTTGACATGGGGCTGATGCAAGCATTGGAGGTGGATGTGTCAGATGGTGAAATCTTCTCGGCGCTACAAAGCATGGAAATTATAAAAAGCTCCAGGGATTGATGGCTTAAATGCGTTATTTTACAAGAAAATGGGGGACACTGTGGGCCCTTCTGTGTGTGACTTCATTCACACAATGTGGCGAGACGACGTAGTCCCACCCGAAGTGAACCAGACATTGATTGTCCTCATTCCCAAAATCAGCAATGTCTCTTCTCTTATGCATTACCGGCCCATCAGTTTGCTTAACGTTATTTACACGCTTCATGGCTTAATCCATCCGACACAAGTCAGCTTTGTCCCGGGTCGCCATATTATCGATAACATAGTAGTGGCTCATGAGTTAATCCACTCCATGCGGCGCAAACAGTGAGCGAAGGGCTACATGGTCATCAAAGTCGACATGGAGAAGGCTTACGATTATCTTCGATGGGACTTTATTGAAGAAACTCTGCAACTGCCCGGCTTCCCAGCTATCTTGATTAAGGCTATCATGGCTTGTGTTCGTTCGACTTCCATGAGGCTGTCGTGGAATGGGACGATAGGGGGGAATTTCAGCCCACCAGGGGTGTTCGACAGGGCGACCCTATGTCCCCATATCTCTTCATCCTATGTATGGAGCGGCTGGCGCAAATTATAGATAAGGCTATGGAAGGGCAAACATGGAATCCGATCTCCGTGGGTCGAGGGTCTATATCCGTGCCTTTCCTGATGTTCACATATGACCTCCTCTTGTTCATGGAGGCTTCGGATGAGCAGGCGATGACCCTGAAACGTATCCTTGACCTATTCTGCAGGATGTCGGGCCTGCCTGAAAGTTAACTCGGAGAAGACACAAGTCTTCTTCTCTCGTAACGTGCGGGGTGACGAACAACGAAGGCTTGCGGATGTGCTTCACTTTCAGTGGTCGGACAACCTAGGGAAATATCTTGGAGTGCCCATTATCCACAGTCTTGTGACCACGTCGACTTTCTCCCATATTTTGGATAAGGCGGAGGCCCGCCTCGCAGGTTGGCGTATGAAATCATTGTCGATGGCGGGTCGTGTTACTCTTTCCCAGTCGGTGCTCAGTGCCTTGCCCTACTCCTTTATGCAAGCTTCTCTTCTGCCTAAAGTCATTACAGACGGACTCGATCGTAGTTGTCGATAATTTGTTTGGGGTGGCTCGACAGAGAAGAGAAAAGTGAATTTGGTCGCGTGGAGGGATGTCTGTAAGCCCAAAGACGATGGTGGTCTGGGGATTAAGGATATGCATAAGATGAATTATGCACTTCTGATGAAGTTGGGCTGGGGACTCTTAACGAGAAGTAACTATCTTTGGGTTCGGCTGATGGTAGCTAAATACGGATTATCTCTCACGAATAGGTTGGATAAGCCTCGTAGCCGGCAAGGTTCACCCTTACTCCAAGCGTTGTGTAAAATTTGGCCAGATTTGGTGAAAGAAATTCGATGGAATCTTGGCAATGGTGAGATGGTGCGTTTCTGGCTCGACTCTTGAGTTGGCACGATTGGCCCGCTTATTAAAGAGTCATCCTTGACAAAAATATACTCCGTCTCCACATACACACAAGGGATAGACACGAATTTGTTCGAAATGCACATAGCCCACCCAAAAACAAGGTGAATAAACAATAAACAAAAAAGTTTCAACTCCCCTAAGGTCTTCTTTTCAAAAAAATACAAGTAACACGTACGCCCCCCATTATTCTCTCCGTCCTCTTTTCGTCAATCTTGATTACCCCAACTTCAGCCCTTCTGTTTTTTTTTTTTTTTCTTTTTTCTTGCCGTTGTATGAGAAATTTGTGAAGCCTAACAAGTGAAAATTTAGATGGATTCAGTGGCTCTTGATGGTATTATAAATCGCTTGCTTGAGGTTAAAGGGCGGCCGGGAAAGCAGGTGCAGCTCTCTGAGTCGGAGATCAGACAGCTCTGTGTGCAGTCCAAGGAGATTTTCTTGCAGCAGCCTAATCTTCTTGAACTTGAAGCACCCATTAAGATCTGCGGTAAAATAGAATTGGGCTTTCTTTATCTTTTGTCCTACCTTATCTGGGTTTCGTTCTTGTGGCTTTTCAATTGTTTGTTCCTTCTTTTTCCTTTGCGTCTGTATGTGTATTTACAAACAAACAAAAAAAAAAAAAAAAATTGTTTTTTGTGAGGCTTTTGTTTCTCATTTACTTGGGATTTATTTGTTTGCTATAACATTTGTTTTTTGTTCATCTTCTTGCGAGTTGACTAGCCGTAGACTAACTGGGCTGTATGTTTGTTTGGAGAAACTTTCTTATTTTGTGTGAAAAAATAGTCTGTTTATGTCTTGAATCACTGTTTGTTCTTAGCTGTATTCGGGTAATATGGACTCTTAATTCGTACCAGGTTTTCTTGTTTTGAGCATTGTAAGAAACTGTGAAGCTACTGTGGATGGCTTAGGTTTATAGGTTTTGAGCTGTTTGGTTTCTATTTTTCAGTTGGACAACACTTGAGAGTCCAACAGTTAGTGGAATGTTGATTGTTTTTCAGTTTTCACTCATTAGAACTTTTTGAGTCAGAGTATATTTGAGTTCTTTCTGAAGTGAGAAATGCATATAGCACTGTAAGAAATGATCTTTGGATCATTTTACAACTGTAATTCAGATGTTACCCTGTCTCGTTCAGTTCTCACTTAAATTGACATAAGTTCTCGTTGTTTACACTGTACGTGCTTACGAGATTCTGTGTTAGTGCAACTATTGATTCAGTATTTCAATGGAGAATTCTTATAAAATTTGTAGCATATCCTGTGTGCATATGTTATGAGGTCTTAATGTATTTCAAGATGTTGCAGCTTGTGCTAGAATTTAGTAAATGTTCAGTTACTTCCCAACTACAACCTGAAAAAATCACCTGCCCACGTATTCTTTTTTTCCATTAGTAAGAAGAATATTACACAATGCATCGTTGTATTTATATGTTTGTGTGTTTATGAACATATGCATATTTCATGTGTACAAGGCTTTCGGTTGTCTGAAGCTTTTAGGAAGCTGTATTTGGACATTGTGCCTATTTCTTTGAATTTAGTCGATCGACATGGTTGTCTCTTTCTGTAAAGAACTGTGATGAGTATTTACATTGTGATGGAAAGTCCTTCACTTCGATCTTGTTTAGTTTTCTTCGTCCAAGAATAGTTGTTAACTTTTTCGTTTTAGGAAAGATCACCTAAGAGTATTATTAGGCAGAAGATGAGAATGTGAAAATTTGATGATTGGATATGACTAATAATTGGAAATATGTGTTGATGAATAGTGCAATTTGTGACAAAAATATCAATTGATAGTTGAATTAATGCTTTCAATGTCTCCTCTTTAACCTTTTCTTGTGAAATGAGATGCAATAAATGATTACAAATGAGGGTGAGTGAACAGTGTAATCTTTTGAAAACCTTCATAATCATGTCGGCATTAAGAAAAAATGAGAATCTCTTGGGTGGAACAAATATTTTGGTTTACCATATCACAATATTTTCTTGGCAGGGGATATTCATGGTCAATATTCCGATCTCCTAAGACTTTTCGAGTATGGTGGATTACCCCCAAAGTCCAACTACCTATTCCTTGGTGACTATGTCGATCGAGGCAAGCAGAGCCTAGAAACAATATGCCTTCTGCTCGCCTACAAAATCAAGTACCCTGAAAACTTTTTTTTACTGAGAGGCAACCACGAATGTGCCTCAGTCAACCGTATATACGGTTTTTATGACGAGTGCAAGAGGAGGTTCAACGTGAGAATCTGGAAAGTTTTCACCGACTGTTTCAACTGTTTGCCTGTTGCTGCTTTAATCGATGAGAAGATTTTGTGCATGCATGGCGGGCTCTCACCTGACCTTCACGGTCTTGATCAGATTCGAAATTTGCAGCGCCCGACCGACGTGCCTGAAACGGGCTTATTGTGTGATTTACTTTGGTCGGACCCTAGTAAAGATGTGAGAGACTGGGGGATGAATGACAGAGGCGTGTCTTACACATTTGGCCCAGATAAGGTGGCCGAGTTTCTCCAGAAGCATGACCTTGACCTTATCTGCCGAGCCCACCAGGTTTCAATTTTTTTAATTTTTTTATTTTCTTGCTGCCATATTGGAAATTAGTGGTCCAAGTGTGACAATTCCACTCTTTACTATTATGTAGTTTTGTCAAAATAATAATTATGCTCTCTTGTGAGACTTCATTTGGAGTTTTTTGCTACTTTCCGGCACTCAAGTGCATTTGGAGATTTAGCAAATACTGGGACACTCTTTTGAGACTAGAGTCGTGAGGCCATTATTGCTATGTTATACTAATTAATTAGAGAACTAATCTTGCAATTAAGCCATTTCGTCTTTGCTAATTTGAGAGGGGTTGATGGAAATTGGGTTGTTAATTAACAATATTAAGAATTTTGTTACAGGTTGTTGAGGATGGATATGAGTTTTTTGCTGATAGGCAGCTTGTGACTATATTCTCTGCCCCCAATTACTGTGGGGAGTTCGATAATGCCGGGGCCATGATGAGTGTAGATGAGACCTTGATGTGCTCCTTTCAAATACTAAAGCCTGCTGAAAGGAAGCCCAAGTTTGGATTTGGAAGTACAAATACAACTAAGCCAGGAACTCCCCAAGCGAAAACAAAGGTACCAATCATCAGAGCTTGAAAACTACACTTTTTTTTTTTTTTTTTTTTCATTTTGAAAATACTTTTTCAGAGTTTAGAACATCATCTAATACTTGGTCACATTTATTCATCTCTCTATAACGTGTATGTTCGGTGTTACGAATGCTCTTCAAATATGATTGGTAGTTGACTAAATACCAAATTAACTCTAAACTCGGTTTCATTCAGTCGTTGCAGACATTTCTTGGTGCAAAAATAGGATGAGGCCACTATAAATAGCTCAAGAATGTAAAATTATGATGTTTGGCAACAAAGGTGCAAAGACAGGAAGCGTTATAGTCTTTTTGAGGATCATGTTGCTGTTTCTCGAGATGTAAAATCTGAAACGGGACAAAATCTCGACCCAGGAGAAAAAGCTGGGGAAGGCTGTAACGGTGCCTACGTAATTGTGTGATTTGGAGGCGACTTTCATAGGTTAGATATGTATTACTATGTTAACCAAAGATTTTGTGGCATTACTTATTGAACTGGGAAAATCAAAAGGACTGCAGGACCTTGTGGCATATTCATCGTGTAGGGGGATGGAGTGTAAAGGTGATGGAGGGTATAAACGTCTTATGTCTCGTGCAGACTGAATTTGTTGCGCACTCTTATACTGGGTGATTTTGATTTCGTGTAATGGTTTTGTGGATGGCTTTCTCTGAACTATATTTCAGGAACCAAAATGAACCGGCCATTCAGACAGGTTCGTAAGCAAATGTTTGGCTGGAGCTGGTTTGCTGCAAAAACCATTCATAAAACCAGTTTCTTCACTTGTGCCTTTTCTTTTGGAAGTTTTTGGTACTTGATATTTCATTTATGTTGTTATGCCTTTTTTTT